ACAATTGCTCATAAATTGAAAGGTCAAGTGGGGATTTTTTCCCAAATGTATTTTTCTAATCACTAATGAAAAGCAATCAGAATTCTCCGACCTAAAAACAAATGGAACACTCACTTTACTTCTGTTGGGATCAACAAAGCATGAACTTTCAATTTTAAGAAATGTTATCACTTTAGCTCTTTTAAATTGGAACAAACCTTGAGTCTATGGTTGTATTTAGCATGTTGTGTGATTCATCTAATTTGATTAGTTAATGTACTTTGAAACAATCAATTTAGATAAGGAGAAGTGAGAAAAGCCTGAATTCAGTAGGAATTGAATTGGCGAAGGGCTTAATTTTAGGGTGAGAAGGGATTAACGTTCTTGAACCAGGCGTCAGAGTAGTCCATCTCAGCGAGCGAACAGACTCATTAGTACTCCTGAAAATATCGTTGTAGAAATTATCACTCGCAGGTCTTCTCGGCGAACTATACGACTTAACAAACACCTGCCTTTCACCCAATCCAGACAGAGAACTGGTGGAAGACTCCTCCGACGACTTGATTCTTCCACTACCAAAAACGTATCTCGATCGCGTTGAAGGTCCCCCAAACGCGTTATCGAAATCGACGTCGTTTTTGTGGTTTTTCACATGCGCCATATTAGAAGAACATGCTTCATTTCGAACGATCTATGTGAAAGACCGAATCGGATCAACACATGCTTCGTCCGACCAATTCTCTGCATTCACTGAACTTCAATAAAAATAGCAAAAAATCAATAGCAATTGAGTAGTGATTAAACGAAATTGCACTGAGATTACAAGTAGCGTTTAGATTCGATTTCAGCAGATTAAGAGAGGGAAAAACTGAAACAAAATTGATTGCTGAAAACAATCTCATATTTGGATCGATGATTAATTCCAGATCTGGACGCGGTGATGTTGATTTTGGGGGAAATCGAAACACTCGATGAGTGAATCATCGACGGAGTAGGTGGAGAGGATGAAATAGCGTAGATTATCTGACGCGCGATGAAGAAGATTGTTGAAGGAAGCATTGGAGAAGAAGGTCGATGGGAGGACACCAAATTGTGGGTTTATGAGAGATAAATAGATTAAGATAAAATTTAATTATATTTTTGTTTACAATAATACTCCTGACTCATTTAATTAAGACACCCCTAATTCTTTAGTGCTCTACTTATTTACAAAAACGCCATCTTGCATCTTAACTTTTTTTTATCTAACGTTCCACCTTTAGTTATCCGGTTTTCGGCAAAAATATGAGTTCTTAAACGATCATTCCTTATATATATATA